TATGAGGACAGGCTGAGGGAGTTGGTCTTGTTCAGCCTGGAGAAGAGAAGGCTGCGGGGAGACCTGATTGCGACCTTTCAGTACCTAAAGGGGGCCTATAGGAAAGATGGGGACAATCTTTTTAGTAGGGCCAGCAGTGACAGGACAAGGGGTGATGGTTTTAAACTGAAGCAGGGTAGGTTTAGACTGGATCTAAGGAAGAAATTCTGCCCAATGAGGGTGGTGAAACACTGGAACAGGTTGCCCAGAGAGGGGGTGGAGGCCCCATCCCTGGGAACATTCCAGTCCAGGTTGGCCGGGGCTGCGAGCAACCTGATGTGGTTCAAGGTGTCCCTGCTCCCTGCAGGGGGGTTGGACGGGATGACCTCTAGGGGTCCCTTCCAACCCAAAACATTCTATGATTTTATGATTCTAAGGCGAGCACTGCTTTTGTCTGGTGTGGCAGCTAACAAAGTGCGGGTCCCAGGGTTTCTAGGTCACAAGCAAGTTCCCCTTCAGGTGTGATTGCTCTTCACGGGTTTTCTTGGGGTATGTCCCCTCCAGCGTTTGTTGTAATCCAAAGCCCCTCAAGCTTTGGAGGTCCAGGTGCCACCTCTGTTCTGCTCTGCCATGGCACCTCTTGGCATATATCATCATTACACAGCAATGACCAAGACTGAACATTGGCCAGATATGCAATACATCCACCCGCAGTTGCTGCTGGGTGCAGAAGTACATGACTAAGTGATGTACAGTTCACAAACTCACACTAGATTCAGAAATAAGTATATTTTAGGTGTTATGCAGATAGCAAGCACACGTATTTTCTTATCTGTTAGCACTACAGCAATACAATAACAGTAATGAAGAAGCTATCATATGGCAAAGATCTGCCATCAGCTCCAAGGATGCTGTGTGCCCAACACACCACCTTGCTCCCAGTTACAATTGCTGTCATAAGCAGGGTGCTCCAAGACTTTCAGTGGTCATGGGAGCCCTCTTTGCTCTTCACAGTCTGTTGTTCAGGAAGGACCAGAGGACGCTGGCTGCTATCCCTGCTGCCATCCCATAGCTGTACCTCACACTGCCCGCTGAGTTGGCATTACAGAGGTCGCTGCTGCAGCAGGAGATATTCCTGTTGGCCACGCTGAAGTCCTGATAGAGCGATTTGCATGAGGAGTCACAACCCTTGCTGATGATGTTGAAGGCCCTTACAACCCCTGGAAGGAAAGCAGGACCATTACTACAAGGACACAATGCAAGCCTAGACAAGCCTTATGGAACTGAATAATGAGATGCTATTTATATTTGAGTTCACTCCTCGGAAAAAAATCTGAGTATTTCCAAAGAGCTGCATGTTTTCCTGTAGCAGGTTGTATTTTTGGGGTGTCAGTTTGTCAGCAGGTGGGGAAGGGTTTCAATCCCCAAGTATTTGCTTTGGGCAGTGTATTCCACAGCACAGTTCTCAGGGATTTCTAAAACAGCATCAACTACAGAAATTCTCGTAATTTAATCAATAATGAAAGTAGCCATTAACACCTCTTTTGGGGAGTCTAAGCTACTAAATGGGTATTAACACCTCTTTTGGGGAGTCTAAGCTACTAATGGGTAGTAATGGGGTAATCTTTGCTCATATCCCGAGCTTTTCAACACAGGGAAGTTACGGAAACGTGGTTATGCCCATTTTGCAGATGACCGAGTTACTGCTTGATCGGTTTCTGAGAGGCACAGCCTATTTTTCTATGGCTGGTTGATACTCAGTAACTGCTGGTTACCAGCAGATTACACTCCGCATGAGATCTCCTGATCTTGCACAATTTATTCTGGGCACGAAGTCTTTGGCATACGCAAATTTAGTGTACAGGGCCAGCGGGTTATACAGCGTGTTAGCTCTCCTGCATGTGAATGCATGGTCATGGGTTTGCACACTTCAAATGAGGACAACGTCTACTGGAGTTGTTACATTTACTGCCTGACAGAGATGAGTTTGAACATGTCGCTGATGGGTTTTGTGCCCTAGGTCTAAGAGCAACTGAGCTGTCGCCACAGATCCTGACAGGGCGAACATTTTTCTTTACCAGGTCTAGAATGGGAGAATTAAGTCATAATCTGTTAAAGTACTTTACCCAGAAACCCAGCGGTGGCTGCACTCAGAGCTGGCTGTAGATGGGCCTAGGTGACATTCTATCTTTTTCATTGAATTCACCTACAGTCAGCTCTGTCACTGAATGCTCCTCCTGGTGAGACCTAGTCCTTCATGACTAGGTCTCACCAGACTCAGCCCCTTAATTTTAATCCATGTTCCAAACTTTTCAAAGCCATAAACTTTCCTATTGCCCCTGTAAGCAAATCACTTGTGGTGTTATGAAAGAGAAATAAACCTAATTTTGTACAGCTGAGAGACTTTGGTGGGTATTTGCGATGTCAAGTGCTTAACAGCGAGTGCGCTTTTAGGCTGCTGCCCCCTCCTGAGGTTCATTTGAGGCACGGGTGCCTCAAAGGCCATACTGCTCATTTTTTAGCATGATCTATTGTCAAAACTGAGTAATTTATGGGGTACAGCATACAGGTATTAATATGACTTTGTAATCACACTCTTGTGGCCAGTGTGGGGAGAGGACTTGGTGATGGTCAGCACCTCTACCAAGGGACCAGTTATGAACAAGGGATGAACAGTTTTCTTTCGTCATTTCTACTGAACGTGAAAGTCATCTGAAAGCTCTTTTATCACCTTTTCTCCCCAGATGGCTGTTCTCTTCCTGCTGCACACTGAGCTTTGCTGGCCCACACCAGTTGCTGTATCTAGACTAGGTGGGGCTGGCTTGGACACCTGAGTCTGGGACCACGTTTGGCTCCAACACCACAACTAAGACATTGCCCACCCCCACTTTTCCTTACTGATCACATCTGTCTTGCACATTTCCCCTTCCTTGCAGGACACTTTCGTCTGACAGTTGGAGTTGCTGAGCTGTGACATGCAGCTGTAGCACTGCAAAGAAGAACCTGCAAGAGACCAAAAGAGGTTATAAGACAAATCCATCTGAAGCTCTCCGGGGAACCCAACATAGTGCTTGAACTAGGAAACAGGACCATTTCTGTGGGTCCTCATAGAAAGAGAGCACCTCTGTTATTGGGAAAACAACGGGGGGGTTCAATTTTTGGTGGAGAATAGTGCACTTGCTTGGGGTGAGAGTCAAGTTTTGCAGGTGCTGAAGCTGTTCGGATTTAGCCAGTGCAATGAAGGACCAAAAAGGCCAGCTGGATAGCTGATGAGACCAGTCAATGCGAAGCACTTCCCAAATGCTTCTTCCTCTGCATTTGGGATGCCTAACTCAGCTCCTGTCCGGAACAGGATCTTTGTGATATTTCCATGTGCTGATCTGGGATGGAGGGATGAAGTCCCCAGAAGGACAGGTTAATATTATTTGTCTGCCTCTACAGACATTAGTGTTTTACCAGGTGGGCTTGTGAGCCTTAGCTGAGGCATTGCCAGGGTTGGATGAAAGAGGGAAAGCCCAGAGGGAAGAGAGGGGGAGGGAGGGAGGGAGTAGACAATTTGCAAGGTCTCATTCTGACCAATTTGTGACATGTACTCTCTGTCACCCCCTCTTAGAAAGCAATGCGCAAACACATCTTTTGCCTCCCTCTGAAAACCAGGTGCCCACGTGTTTCCACCCCCTCATGGACATGCCACTCCATGGGGGATGCAAGTCAGTGCTGTTAACATCTGCTGTGCTGTTTTGCACATCCAGCAAAGGCAGAACACGAATCGCAGCTTACGAGTGTCTAGCCCTGATGAAAAATACTCCCCAGAGGAGTGAGAACATGGTGCAATTACCTGTTCTTATTACCTACCCGTGCTCCAGGGCATCTCTGGAGCCTTGCAAATGTGAGAGTTAATGTATAGATATGTTCCTTAAGCCCATGACCACCGGGCTTGTATCATGACTCCCTCAAGTCAGTACCCTAATGCCTAAAATACTCTTTTAAGACACAGAAAAGCCCTATTTTGAAATTATTATTATTCAGAGCAGCAACAAGAGGTGATTTGAAGCACTTGGTGTCCCTCTGTCCAAGCCATTCTGGTATAAATGATGGATGCAGTTATAGAGGCAAGGAGCCAAACCCCTGTCTGTCTGTAGTGCTGCACCCTGCTCACACATTTATCTGACTTTTAATGCAATGAAAGTCACATTTCAGAGCACTCTGATGGAAGCTGGCAGAGGAGAAGGTCTGGCCAGGACTGTATGAGACCCTTCTCAGCCTATTTCTTAAGCATCCTCTGCTGATTGAATAACATTTCTGCTCAGATCAGTTTCTTCTGCTCTATGGTAATAAGGAAAAAGTGGTTTAAAACCATTTTTTTTTCCCAGTGAGTCCAGAAAAATGTGACAGTGTCTGAATCCCACCCATCCAGTTCATAAAATAACGTGTCATGGCATTCTCCCTTTTCTGTCCTATTAAAATTCTGACAATCTGTGCAGCATCAGAGGCCACTTTTGAAATGAAGAGTCAGAAAACAAGTTGGAACAAAACTTATCTTTGCAGAAACATTGCAATTTTGAGAGCCTGGGAAGAAGAAAAATAACCCTCCCACCCCACTTAAAAAAAACACACACCCACCCCCACACATACAGCTACATGGTCTGGCTTAAATAATTTTGATTCAAATTAAATTCGGTTTGCATTAGTCTTTCCTGGAAGCTGCTCTACCCAGCACTAGGATCACACCATCAGCAGGGCGGGACTATGCATTTTTTCCATGCAATACCCAGGACATTCCTTCAAAAAAAAAAAGGTCTTCCTATGACAATTGTGTCAGCGTTTCTTCCCTCGCTGCCAAACCCCATCACAAGTCTTTTCTCCTAGCTGAAGGTCTGCTGGAGGCAACACGGTGTAGAGTCTCCATGTTGTCTTACCTGAGTCCAAGCACAGGACTGCTCCCAGCAGGAGGACAAGGAAAGCCTTCATTTTGGGATAGCCTCTCTTGTGCTGAATATGGGTTGTTTCCTCGTGGGGCAGTTTATATACCATGGAAGGCAGCAATTGGGCATGCCCAGAAGGTTACCCCGTGAAGGCACCTGAGCGAGGCTGCTTGCTGGACCAAGGGAGGGGTTGGTTTCTCGTGGTGATATATGCGTTAGGTGCCTCTCCTGTTTGCCTCTCGGAGTTGCCAGCAGCTCCTCTCCACACCACTACGCCCCTGCCTTTCCTCCTACCCTCGGGCAAAGTGCTCAGAGTGAAAAAAAAAGTGCTCAAGAATGGAAAAACCCCCAGATGCTTTAGAACAAGGCTGGCCTTATGCGTTTCCCCAGAGCCAGCGAGGCCGAGGTTGCACCCCGTGAACAAGGCTTTCCACCCCCTTTGCTATCCTGAGTGAAGCTATTGTGTTTAAATCAAGGACAAAATGTTCTTTTAATAAACTTCTCCAGCTATTTATCTGCATGTGTGGCATGTGGTAGCAAGGTATGTGGGCAAAGTACAGCGCATTGGTTTCTTCTAGGTGTCCAGGTATTCATTTACTTTTATTCATATGTATTGACTTGTGCTGGGTTTGGCTGGGGCAGAGTTAATTTTCTTCACAGTAGCTGGTATGGGGCTGTGTTCGTATTTGTCCTGAAAACCGTGTTGATAACACAGGGTTGTTTTTGTTATTTCTGCACAGTGCTTAGACTGAGTCAGGCCTTTTCTGCTTCTCACCCCACCCCACCAGCGAGTAAGCCTTTCTGCTAAACTCAGTTTGCCATGGTTTCTCGCTTTATTTAGGGTTTTTCTTAAATTTCAGGAAGTTAGTCCTTTGCAGTAATCACCTGCAGGGGTGCAGTTTAGCTCTTAGGACACCAGGGACTTCTTCAAATTGAAAGGAAGGTGTGCTGACATGTTGATGGATCATTGCTCTTGATTAGGGGCTGTGGGGTGAGTGATAGAAGGTCAGCTGGCACTGCCCTGATTTACACCCGTGGAGAATCTGGTGCAGGGGATGATTTTGCAAATCTTGTTTCCTCTGGGGGGATCTTAAGTGCTTCACCTTGGACTCTTGAACTTCTGTTTCAAAAGAGAAAAAAACCCCAACCCAACACCTTTTTGTGACTACTGACTTTTGCTTCATCATATTTTTGCAGGCCATCTCATTTATAGCCAACTTTTATGGAATAGCTGGATAAAAAAAAGTGGCAATACGGTGTCAGAACCTGGTGTTAGTGATTCAGAGATATTTAAGGTTATTTTTCTTTTTCTAATCCCTTACGATTGTCCCTGTAGGGTTTGGTCCCTTGTGTTAGGGAAAAATAGGGCTAAGGGGAAAGCATAACCTGGCTTCTCCATCGAATCCACGCAGGCCTTCAATTAAATATTTCTTCCTTCAAGCAACTTGTAGATGAGCAAGAGAGAGCGCTCTTTTCCTCCTCAACAGCCTGACTTGCTGCCAGTCAAACTCTCCTAGAATTACTATTTCTTTTTATTCTTTTTCTAACAGCATGAGGGCTGCCAGCAAAGACCAGGACTCATGGTGCTATGGATGCACGCAGCTAAGAGCCCGTCCATGTCCCAGTCCTGCTTGGCGGAGGCCTGGGGCTGTGTGAGAACCCAGTAATTCCTGCAACCTTACATCAATTGCTGCTTCTCACTGTTTTTCTGAACATTTGTGTGCAGTTCCTGCTCGACTCCTGAAGATGGCAAACATGCCCTGTTATACTTATTACACATACATTAACATGCAGTTGTCCATGGGATTGTGTGTGCATGGTATTTTTTATTTTCCTGTTGTTATAAAATCCTCAGGTCATCTAACTGGATGAAAAAGACCATCTATTTCCCCTGGGAATCTAAGGATATCTACAAATCACTTCGATTTTGGTTTTTTTAATGCTATTTTATGTTGTCACTGCAGATTCCTGATAGATAGAGGTCTGGAGCTTTCTGTTGAGGAGGGAGTAAGCATGAGCTGGGAATTTGAGGACAAGATAGGTGAAACAGCGCCTGGGAAATCTGAACAGAGATAGTGAGTGTCTCCGAAGGCAAAAAAATGTTGCTCAAATTTCCTGGGCTGCAGCAACCATTTGGCTAGTTGGTCTGAAGAGGCTGCAGGGAACCTGCAAGAAGACAGAGATAATGTATTAAGACTTCAATTGCAGACCGCCTTTTTTTCATGGGGATATCTTTTGTGAGCAGAAGAGAAAAAAAAGCGTGAACCCAGAAAAGAGGAAACTAAGACGAAGTTCCATGCACACATCCAAGCTCCTGAATGAATTGCAGTCCTTGAAAGAGCCGGCTCATCAGTGGATCATGCAGAGTCCCCAGCCTCTGAGCTCAGAGGTGTAACACCTTCTCAGATGCCTTAATTCAAGCCAGAATTAAGTGCAAGAACGAGAGGAACTGCTGTCCAAGGCTGCCCGGCCCTGAAGAGGGGTGTTGCTTGCTCAGCATGAGCGTAGCTCGCAGGCTCCTTTTCAGGATGTTCTCAAGTACATGTGTGGAGGTCACAATGGGCTGCAGAGGGAATCTTAGTGACTTTTCCACTCCTGGAAGGTGTTTGGTATGTGTGCAGTGAACGAGCTGATGCTCTCTGCAGTGATGGCTGCAAATCTACTCAGGCTGTGGGGATGCGGAATGTATGTGAAGGGACTTTAGAGGCCAATTTTAGGCACCAAAGTGGGAATTTCTAATGGCTGCACAGCTGTGTTCCTGGGAACGCAAGCAGCCTTAGGAGCATTGAACTGTCCCAAGTCAGAAATGGGTGGGGAATAAATGAGACTGAGTTACGGGATGGAGGTAAGGCAAATCTCATTACAGACTTGTCTGTAAGGAGGGAAGCACGGCTCCTAAATGAGGCATGTGATGGGATAGACAGGAAGATGGATTGGGTAGATAAGGGGAGAGAAAGATTTAAAAATGAGTAGATACACAGTTGTCCACAGAGATGGATGGATAGCTAGCAGTCAGGAGGAGCCAGAGTAGCTGGTCCTGTGCACCCTCTTCTAACCTTGTACGTGATTACAGGCAGGCTTTGCTCTGCTTGTGACTTTGCTAATCTTTAGTTTCTTCAGTATCAAAGAGAAATAAACGGCATATGGTACTTCTGCCCTTGACTGCCAGCCGAGATAGGCTCCAGCTGCTACATCAGTAGATGCTTAATGCTGTTTCATCTCATGGTCTAGCTCACACTGCAAGGATTTTCATCTAGGTTTACTGTTCAAGTAAGCTTCAGAGCACATGGAGGCAAGGCTGGGCTTCCTGAGATGTCTTCCAGAGCTCAGCAAGAGACCAGAGCTGTCATTAAGAATAGAAGATTGAGAAAGACAGAAAGATCTTGGGGGTCTCTGTCACTGGGCTGCTGAGGGACCTTTGGCATGGGCCTTCCCTTCTTTGTGCCTCTTCTTCCTCTAGTGGTAAATAGGACTCATGACTCCTGCATCACAAGGGAAGTGGTTTGCGCTCTGTGGGTGCAAACAAGTACAACTATCGAGCATTCTGAAGGTTTAATAAGCAAGGAGCCTGTTTGACCTTGAGTAGTTCTACAAGGGTCCAGGCACAGACCCAAACATTCCCATTCAGGATTTCAGATTTCAGAAGCTAGCCTGACAAGCCTTGGAGAAAAATTTCACCTTCACATCACACACGCTCTTGCTGACAACCACAAAATCCATGCATTGCTGAAAATTAATCCCACCATGGTGCTAATCTTGTCTACAAACTGTAGATGGACAAGATTCTGAGGGCTGTAGGGGTTGGACATCCCCATACGGTGGTGCTGTTGCTGCGTTGCTCGTGCAAAGACCTCTCGGTGTGTGGGAGCAGCCCAGACTGTTTGTTTAAAATCTCAGCAACTTCAGAGCATCAAAAATGCATTTGACATTTTTTTTGTTATTTTGCTAATTGCTAAGCTCTTTTGGTTGTAAAAGGCTCGGAGTGTGGGATCCCTGCCAGCTTCTGCTGGCGATGCCTCGCGCATCTCTGAGTTGTTTGCAGGAAAAAAAGGAGTGCATTTCCCTATGCCTACGCTTTGGAGTTGGGGTGAAGTGTGGGGACAGTAGCCTGTGCTATGGTCACAAAGCAGCTTTGTGCTTGCTTTGCCCTCACAAAACATTTCCTTACCCCCTCTCATACCAGGCTTTGCAGTTTTCTGTGGACAGATGCAGCAAACAGTAGTTTGAAATACAGGCAGAAAACATGGCTTTCCTGAGATCACACAACAGGATGACACCAGACTTCAGACCAGGACCCTCAAACACCCTAGCTGCTTCCTAGTCTGTGTCCTTTTCCTTCCATCAGGAAAATTATTGAATTGCTTTCACCCTTGTAGGAAACCACACAATATTGATGGGGAAGAATCTGAGATTTCCAGTCCAGCTGCTGCAGGTAGAAAAGGGTAGACCTGATGGCTGGACACACCAAGTCCTGTGTGGGCCCAGCATGGACAGCTGTTCCCCATGTGGAAGTGGGTGCATTCAATGCGTGGCCGCTCATTGTCCCTCTTTCGTCCTTCTCGTCCTCATTTTGAGGCCAGCACTCTTGTGTGGTATTGCTTCTCCCACTTCAACACAGCTTAGGGAAGAAACTGCGTCACAGGAACTCAGTTCATGGTCTTACATGTGGGGAAAGTATTTTCCTGAGGGAACATATTTGTCAGGGCTGTTTTGTGACTTGGTTGTGAATTTGTTGACAAAATGTTTTCTGGGCTGGAAAATACTATTTTGTTGACAAAGAAATGTTCTGCAGAAATAATAAAGCTATTTTAAGTCCAGGATGGATTTTGCAATCAAACCCAGGTAGAGCGCGCAAGATCAATCTAGAATAGCCAATCTCCGCTGGTTAGGACATGCAATTAAGATGCGGGAGATACAGGATTAGTCTTTCTAAGTCATGTTTCCTTGTGGTTGAGCAGATGCTCCATCCACAGATACTGGAATTCAGTTTGTACTTGTCTTTGTCCCTCTTAGAACTGTTCCACTTTGTGTTAACTAATTATAAAC